CTTCCAGCGCTCTGAAGTAGCTGCGGGCAGGAGGCAAGTTCCGGACACTTCCCAGCCCTGCCAGAAACCTAGGGCGTTCAGAGCCAGGCCCTGGGGCGGGGATGAGAGTTGGAGGAAGGAAAGCATTTGGATGGAACTAGCCCTAGTTGTTGACATTGGGCCAACTTGCAGGAAGGGGCTGTGGGACAGAACGATGAGGTCATACCGAGGTTGGGGCAGGCAGAGGTAAGAGGGAGGCAGCCGCGGGGTGATGGCGACAGACCCCCTGTGGTCGGGTCTGCAGAGGACCGGAGTCCTTGGGAGCAGAGGCCAGCCCATGGGCTGGGCAGCCGGGATTTTGGGTTCAAGATCGCAGGTATTTTATGAGGTGTACTAAAAAATTAGGGTGCAGAGGGAGGCCCATTTACGGAAAACAAAAACAAAAACGGGGCCGATTTCTTTGCATGTATGAAAATCAGTTTCTTTGTCACACAAGGGGCGCAACACGACAAATGAGCCACCGATTTCCCTAAGCTTCCCAGGGAAACCCGAGGGGGCAAAGTTAGGCGCAGAGCCAGCAGGACTGCGCCGCAGTCTCTCCCTTCTTTCTCCTGACATAATAAACTCGGCCCAAGTAAATATTTGCCCGACGTCTCGTCCTCCGAAGGGCTGTGAGGACTGGATTTTCTCTGCGGGTGGGGTGAGGATGGGTCAGCATCCATCCTCCTGGCGGCTCCGCTGATTCCCAGGGTCTGGGCCTCGGTCATTGCAGGACAGAGCCCGAGGGCGAGGGGGCCCCCGCCTCTCGCTGTCGGTTTAGAGCCCCCAGGAGCCCGGTGAAGCAGAACGGCCACAGCCCCGCCCCAGGCTCCCTCTTCTACTTCTTTGTGTGGGCCCTTTTCTAAGCTTGCAGGGGACCAGCAGGGAGAAAAAAGAGGCCTTACCCAGAAGCTTCGCGCCCCAGGTTCGAGTCCCAGCATTGGGTTGTCTCAGCACTGAGACCCTGAAACAGTATTTTTGCTTTAAATTTTTTTTTTAAATTGGATATCAATTGCCATAAAATTGTCTTAGAATTGGAAAGAAGCCCTGATATCTGAAGAGATTGGACATACAGCCAGTCAGTGGCAGCGCAGTGCCCAGGATTTGGGTGACCTCACCACTCTCAGAGATGTGATCCTAAAAGCTCATGGCCTTTGGTATCATTAGAATAATTTCAATAATTTATGTCCTATCAAAGAAGCAGCGTTTGCTCCATAGAAATGCTCACAGAGAAGGCAAATTCACAAAGACAGAGAGCCAGTTAGTGATTTCCAGGGCCCAGGAGAAGATGAGAGCTGAAGGGACCGAGGTAGGTCCAGGGCTTATTTCGGGGGCAAGAGGAACGTTCTGGAATTGGTGGCAATGGATGCACAACGCTGATATTATTCTGAGAGCACTTAAGTGCATACTTTTTTTCTTCTTTTGGAAAGGGACCTTATGGTGTATGAATTGTATGTCGGTGAGTCCTGATTTTGGCCCCTTGCTGGTGGGTGACTTGCGTCTGTACACAGGAATGCAGGTATGTGATGCACAGGTTGTTGGAGAAGCCACGAGTCAAGACCCTTCTGGATGGCAAACTTCACATGTTGGGGCGGGGTCCTGCAAATGTGTTATAAACTCACTGGGATTTTAGCTTTCCCCTAAGTTTTCCACTCTACCAACGAAGGAGGTGCATAGTAATCATTCCAACAAAGACTTAGTGACGATTCACAAGTACTGGATCAAACAGTTTTCACCCTCCTGTCTGTTTCTCATACAGGGTCTCTCCCTTCGCAGCGTGTGCGCGTGTGTGCGTGTCTGTGTTGAGGGAGGAACATGAAATCTATCCTTTGTAATACAATTTATGTGAATAATGCAAAATAGCTATCCCATTGGTTGGTTTGCCAACAGTCTGGTTATAATCTTTTTTATATTTGTGACTTCCATTGCAGTGATTTTTATTTCTAATTTTGAATCTTTCTTTTTTTCCCCATTGTTTATTAAATTAGCTGTAAGGATTTATAAGTTTTCAACAGAACTGTACACACTGGCTGAGCCTCAGATCTCCCAAATGTCTCCCAAATGCTTTCATCGTTCACAGCTGAAATGCTGCCTTCTCTCAACAGTGACTCTCCATTTATCCCTTTCCCAGGGCCTGGCACCCACTGCCGCACTTTCTACTCTCTGAGTCTGACTTTAAGCAGCTTGTGTAAGAGCATGGTGTATATGTCTGCGGCTGGCTTATCTTACCTTATCTGCAATATTCAGGGCCCAGCTGGGTTGTGGCAGGTGTCAGAATTAATTTTTAAGACCCAGTGATACTCCCTTGTGTACACAGATTGCATTTTCTTCATTCTTAGAGGCCTGTGCTGTTTTGTTTTTTAAATAATTCAGTTTTTAAGGGTCCTTGTCTGGCTTTGTTATCAAGGTGCAGCTCAGAAATCAAGTTTAGAAGCAGTCTTTATTCTCCAGGGTTTGGAAGGCTTTGCAAAAGATTGATGTTAATTTTTCTTTGAGTGTTTTGCAGAATTTGGCAGGGAAGTCATTTGGTCCTGGGCTTCTTTGTGTTAGGAAGGTTTTTATAATGAAACCAGTGTCTCTGACTAGTTAAAAGTCTGTTCAAAATTTTATTTCCTTCCTCCCTCCTCTTTCTCTCTCTCCCTCCCTCCCTTTGTCCCTCCCTCCCTCTTTCTCTCCCTCCCTCCCTCCTCTCCCTTCCTCTTTCCTTTCTTCTTTCTTTCCTTTTAGGTCCTTATTTTACGTGTTTGGGTGTTTTACCTGCATGTACATATCTGTGGAGGCCAGAGGAGGTCAGGGGATCCCTGGGATTGGAGTTACTGATGGTTGTGAGCCACCATGTGGGTGATGGGACCTGAATCCAGTCCTGTGCAAGAGCAGTCCTGGCTCTTAACTGCTGAGCCAACGCTCCAGTCCAGATTTTCTTTTGTATTGGTGTCAGCAGGTTGCATATTTCTAAGAAATTAACTATTTCCCCTAAGCTATCTTAGTTGTTGGTTTGCCCGCAGGCTCTTAAAATCCTTTTTATTTTTGTGACTTCCACCACAATGTCTTTTATTTCTAATTTTGAATCTTCCTTTTTTTTAATTTTTCATTAGATTAGCTAAGGATTTATCAGTTTTCAACAAAACTGTTGAAAACACAGTCTCGCTATTATTTCTATTGTCTTCTTTCTCCATCTCAGGCACCTCTGTTTTGACTGTTATTTTTCTCTTGATAACCTTATCTTGGCTTCTCTGTTAACTAGCTTCTTGAAGCATAGCGCTGTGTAATTTCTTTGAGTTCACCCTTATTTTTTTAATGCAGGTGTTTATGGCTGTAGACCTTCCTGTTAACATGGCATTCACTGTTAATTTTAGAAATCTGTGTTTTTATTTTCATTTGTCTCACGGTGTTTCCTATAACTCACGCTCTCCACTTATTTGTCAGTTTCCATATGTTGGTGAATCTTCCAGTTTTCCTTTTGCTACTGATTGCTAGGGATTCCCCCCCCCCCCCCCCCCCCCGGTAGTAATCAAAAGTACTTCTATTGCCTTAGCCTTCCTAAGTTTAAGGCTTGCTGTGTGATATAACATGGTCTATTCTGGCGAGCGTTCTGTGTGTGCTTAAGAACGTGTGTCCACGCTCGTCGGCTGGAATGCTGTGAAAGTGTCTGGCAGGTCCGTTGGTGGAAGGGATTGTTCAAGACTCCTTTGTGAAAAAAAAATTAATTGTCCACATGGATATTACCTCTGATATGAAAGTGGGATACAGAATCTCCTACTGTGATTTCTTTCTTCACGTCTGTTAGTGTTTGCTTTCTTTGTCTTGGTGACCTGATGCTAGATTCCAGCACATTTACAATGATTTTATCTTCCTTTTGTGTCGATCCCTTTGTTGGTATACAGTGTGTCTGCTGTGTTTGGTAACTGGTTTATTCATTGTTTGTTGGTTTCTAAGAGATCTTGTTTATTTTTCTTTTCTGTGTATACGTGTTTTTCCTGGCTGCATCTATGTGCACCACATGGATCCGTGGTGCCCAAGGAAGCCAGACAAAAGCCTTGGTTGGATGCCCTGGAGCTGGAGTCACAGAGGCTTGTGAGCCACTGTGTGGGCGATGGGAAGCAAGCCCAGGTTCTCTGTAAGAACAGTCCTTAACTGCTGGGCCATCTCTCCAATCCCTGCTTGCTTTGTTTTTGAGACAAAGGCTTGCCTGGTAGCTCAGGCCAGGCTGAACTCACTATGTAGTCCAGGCTGGCCTTGGATTAATCAGGTTCCTCCTGCCTCGGCTTCCTAGTTGTTGGAATTGTGGGCATAAGCCATCGTGCCTGGCTTTGTGACTTTTGACTGGAAGTTTATTTTGTCTCTTAGACTTGTGGCCTGTGTGTTAGTTAGCTTTCTGTCACTATAAAAAAATACCTGAGATAATGAGCTTTAAAAATAAAGGAAAGGCCTATTTTGGTTCACAGTGTTAAGAGTTTTAGTCTATGGCCAGTTGGCCCGTGGCCTTTGGGTGCATCACAGCGGGAATGTGGAAAGGAAGAAGCCCATCACCTTAGGGTGTCAAAGAAAAAGGGAAGAGGGAAGAATTCCCACCGTCCCCTTGAAGGGGCAACATTCTCCATGGAGCCAACTTCCTCCCATGAGGCTCTCTCTCCTAAAGTGTCAGTTGTGCCAGGGGCTGAGGACCGTGTCCCCAATGCACATACCCTGGGGGACAGTTCAGACCACACTCTAGCCTCTGCCCTCTTCACTCTCCTCTGGTTACAGCTCCCTTCCCTCATTTTCAGCTGATGTGTGTTCTTACCTAAAGCAAACCTCTGGGGGATACAGAGTTCGGCTTTCTTCTTGTTCATTTATCTGCCAAGAACAGCCACTTGGAGGCATGTCTTTGCACAATGTAAAAGTATATGCTTTCCACACCCAGGTCTTTCTCAAAATAAAAGCACTCTAGTATCTCCATTTTAAACCTCTATTGTATCTGATTTTGTCTTTCTCCTTTACAGAGACAATGTCCCTGACTGTTTGACCAGACCACAAGCTCATCCTGAAGATGTGTTCTACAAACCCAGGCAGCTGGGTCACCTTCGATGATGACCCTGATTTTCAGTCTTCTCAGAAGCCTAAGGATTTTCCTCTGGAGACCCAAGGTGTTTGTAGACCAAATGGACTGAAGCTGAACCTGCCTGGCCTCCGGGACCTTCCTAGTGGCCCCTCCTCCACCAGCAGCACCCCCTTGTCTTCCCCCATGGTCGACTTTTACTTCAGCCCTGGACCCCCAAGCAACTCTCCTCTTTCTACACCCACCAAAGACTTCCCAGGGTTCCCTGGCATCCCGAAAGCAGGGACTCATGTGCTTTATTCCATTCCAGAGTGTCCTTCAAGCAGTCCCCCCACAGCAGTGGGAGCACCGACCTGCCCACCCCACGCATCCTCACCCAGCGACCACTCTTGCACTCAACTGGCTTCCAGAGCCGCCCTTGCAGATGGTGCCAGCCCTCAGCGGGTCCGAAGCGAACCTCTCCAGTTTGAGTACTTTCAGGATGACTGTGCTTTTTCCAACCCATGTTGGCAAGATGAAGGTAGCTCTTCTCATTTCCCCTTTGACTCTCTGGCCAGCAGAAAGCCATTCTCACCGAGGGAAAAGGAGGTGCCCATCGATCAAAAAAGCCTAAACCAATGCTCCCTCAGCTACATCTGTGAGAAGCTCGAACACCTGCAGTCAGCGGAGACCCAAGACCCTGCTGGAAATTTGTCTACACAGAGTTCATATTCTGGAGACACTGTCTCTTCTTTTGTCCCACACACGCTCTTCCGAAGTCAACCCAAAGCTGGGTGGTCCTTCATGCTGAGGATTCCTGAGAAGAAGAACATGATGTCTTCCCGGCAGTGGGGACCCATTTTCCTAAAGGTTCTACCAGGAGGGGTCCTGCAGATGTTTTATGAGAAGGGGCTGGAGAAGCCATTCAAGGAGTTCCAGCTCGATCCACACTGTAGACTTTCTGAGCCCAAACTCGAGAACTTCAGCATGGCGGGCAAAATCCACACCGTGAAGGTGGAACATGTGTCCTACTCAGAGAAAAGGAAATACCATTCCAAGACAGAGGTGATCCACGAGCCCGATGTGGAGCAGATGTTGAAGCTGGGGTCCACGGAGCACCGTGACTTCCTTGAGTTCTTGACTACTGTAGAGGAGGAGCTCATAAAGCTGCCGGCTGTTGCAAAACCAAAGAAAAACTATGAGGAACAAGAAATTTACCTAGACATCGTGGACAACTTTTGGGGTAAAGTTACCAGAGAAGACGGGAAGTTGGTGGAAAGTGCTGTGATAACTCAGATCTGTTGTCTCTGCTTTGTGAATGGGACGGCTGAATGTTTCTTAACTTTGAATGACCTTGAGCTCCAGAAACGAGATGAATACTACTTTGAGAAAGATTCAGGAAAAGGGGGAATTGATATTCTTAACTACCATTTCCACACGTGTGTGAAAGCTGAGGAATTCGAACAATCCAGAATCATTAAGTTCATCCCTCTAGATGCTTGCCGGTTTGAGCTGATGCGTTTCAAAACCCAGTATGGAGAGGATGAGCTTCCCTTCTCAGTGAAGTCCCTAGTGGCTGTCCAGGGAGCGTGTGTGGAGCTTCAGGCCTTCGTCAACATGACCCCAGCAGCTCAGAGGTCACCCCATGCCAGTTCCTCGAGGTGCTGTGACAATGTCATGATTCACTTCCCTGTCCCAGCCCAGTGGATCAAGGCCCTCTGGACCAGGAACCTTCAGAGGCAGAAGTCCCTGAAAGCCAAAATGAACCGTCGGGCATGTCTGGGGAGTTTACAAGAGCCAGAGTCTGAACCTGTCATTCAGGTCACTGTGGGATCGGCAAAATATGAGAGCGCCTACCGGGCTGTGGTGTGGAAGATAGATCGACTTCCGGACAAAAACTCAAGTAAATACCTAACACCTAGGTTGACTTTCACAGCACTTTCACAGTGTTCTCACCCACATACTTGGGCCCACAGCAGGCAGAAGCAGATGGTACCTTGAGAGCTGAGGGCACACTCGCAGAGCCAGGTGGGAGGAGGGACACCTAGCCAAATAGCTGGTCTCTTTTCTCCAGTGTTTATGTCTACCACATGAGTTTGTCTTCTCCCACCTCTTGACCATCAAAAGAAATGCCATCCTAGTTAGACTGTGTGGTGGTTCCAGGGAAATGTTTACAGCAATGGAGGGAGGGAGGAAGAAAGAAAAGGAGGGAGGGAAGGAGAACCTTCCCATTCTCCAGGAGCTCCGTGGTTAAAGCTGTTCTCTTGTAAACGGCCTGGACAGAGCCCTCACATGGTGTCACTGGCAGCTCCTTCTGGGTCAGTCTCAAGTGCTGGGTAGTTTCAGTTCTGTTCTGGTGAGCAGGGGTCACGAGTGTGTGCATCTCCCTAGAATTCAGCACAGAGCTGGACAGACTTTCTTGGAGGAAGTCAGTTAGTGGAATGCTGGAGGGAAGGGATGGCTCCTCCTTCCTATACATTCTTGCCAGTCCAGTCAGTTGATATCCTGGATTCTTGGACAACCCAACGTTGTTGACAGGGCTGGATAGCAAGGAACATACAGTCATTATTTCCACTCTACACAGACACTATGTCTGACTCTTTGGTCCCAGTAGCAATGGAAAACACCGGAGGTCGGTGTGTCACTCACCCTCAGGGGTAGTCTCTGGGTCCAGGAGGTTCCATGCTGTATGCCACCTGCTTGCTTTGCTATTTTTGTAAAAATGAGAGCCAGGATTCTGCCTGCCATGGGAGATTTAAGAAAGACAGATGGATTTCAGAATCATTCCTTGAGAACGTGGTACTAAGAGTTCCAAACTGGCTTCCCCGGCACAAAGAAAGGGAGAAGGTTTAACTTGTCCCATTAGCCTAGCTATCAGAGAGTCGATGCATGATCTCTGTGGGTTATGCCAGTCACTGACATTCCTATCACGTGGGAGCTGAGAAGCTGATTCCGTCAGCGGCCATCTGTTGTGACCAGCCCCAGCACCATCAGACTTGCCCTGAGCTATCTCGGCTATGTCATGGGGAAGTACTGTAGCTGACTGGAGACACATGGAGGCTGAGTGAAATGTGACTTCTGTAAGGACAGTGTGAAGTATCCGGTGGGATGACAGGCTGGGGACTCCCATCCTGCACAGGGCACTTGGGTTCCTCACTTTCCCCAGTTGCTGGATCCTGTCTGTCGCCCAGACTCAGGCTGGTTACATCAGCAAGCTGCAGTCACAGACAAGGACCAGTCCAGGAAGCGGGTCCAGGTCCTGCCTAGATCTTTTGGATCTGTAGGGAAGTGTTCCTCGGCTGAGGTGTGATTCAAGCATACTGGGGTCTGAAAACCCATCTCCTTTCTCCAAGGGACAGTCAGGTGTTCACAGCACTTACAGAGCTCTCCAATAAAAGCACTTCCTCAGTGCTTACAGTATAGCACAGCGTGGCACTGAGAAGCTCCAGATTCGCTGAAGGGCCCTGAGGGATTAGAGGTCCTTCGGGGCTGCAAAATGCAGGGTCAGAGGATACTGATCCTTATCACCTACCCCAAGTGCACACAAGAAAGGTTTGGCTATATAACAAGTGAGTGGATGCTTCCCCATTCAACTCAAGTTTCCCCAAATTTGCCCCTCAATTCATCTCCCTACCCAAGTGTTCTGCTAGAGTGAAGGCAGATTAAACATGAAACAGCTCATTGATCAAGGGGCCTGGAGTGGGAGAGAGAGAGAGAGCAAGGGTTAGCGGCCTTGGATTCAGAAAGGGGCCTGGCCAGTAACTGCAGCTTTCCAGCCTGGCTTCCCCAGGGTCATTCCTGTTTCGCTCTACGTCATCAGCATCTTGGTTCTTTCCCCCACGATTTGGTCTTCCTGTGTCCATTTTCTTAAGCTCTTAGTAGTTTAGCTTCAGAGGTGGAGTATTTTGGATCAGGAGAGATCGGGTATCAACCAGACCTAAAAAGACCTTGTGGTTTGCCTTCTCAGTCAGGAGCTGAGGAATTACTCAGAGAATAATTACTAAGGCCCGGCAGTGCCCCCTCGTGGTTGGTACTGAGATAGCATGCTCTTCTCAATCATTTCTAAGTTTGACTAGTATCTTTCAGGCAGGGTACCTGTTCTTTTCAGCTCCAAGCCTAGAAAAAACAAGTGGGTAAACACTGTAGACTGACCAAAACCATGGAGAAAGACACCAGAAAACTTGAGAGAAATACTTTTGCCACCGTATTTTTTTAGGAAAAAAGGTGTCATTTCTATCATTTAAAAACTAGTAGGTCTTCACACCTCATTTTCATTGGGGAACCAAAAAATTTTCCTGTACAATGTATACACCAATTAAGTAAACTTCATCTTTGCTTTCAAGTCTAAATATGTAGAATACACAGTTCCCTGACGGGCAAATTATAGTAACTGGATACATTGGCTTTAAAATAAAATAGTACTTGGCAAAGTAACAAGGTAAGTTCAGCCTGTCCATACCACTGCCTCTGCTGGTTAGCAGTCCTCACAACAAACTTGTAAGACCCTCACTGGGGAAACTGAGGCTTCAAGAGTTAGGTAGCTTGCTGAGGCTCACACAGCTCTTAAGTTACAGAGCTGGGTCTGGAGTTGCTGTTCTAAAGCAGTAGTAGAAGGGAGAGGCCGCAAACTAGAGAGGATGAAGGATTGTGGGAATCCCGTTCATCTCTGCCTCTCTGATCTCTTTCTCTCTCTCTCCCCACACACTGTGTGCGCGCGGTGCACATGCGTACTCGTGTAAACCTGCCTGCAGTGATGTGGGTAGCTTACGGCCCCTCAGAGGCCACGGCTATCCTGTCTTGCCTGGGTTAGTGTGGTGCAGCGAGCATCTGCTGGCTAATGGATGGATGGCCTTTTGCAGCTTCAGAATTCAATCAGCCTCTCTATGAGAACCAGGCTTCAAGGAGCAAAAGGCAATTCATCTTTCAAAATAAATTTAAGCGCAGTCTTTTAAACTCATGTTTTTGTGCCTAAAGCTATACTCTGATGAAAATGTTCTTTCTTGGCTGTATCAGCAGCACAGGAATTTAATCTGGTCTTTGAAATTAATTTTTTTAAAAGTTACATTTATGTAAAGATAGATTAAACTGGATACGACTAGATGTCATGAACAATGTGAAAAGACCATGGTACCTTTGTGACGTTACTAAAGGGGACGTACACTTTACTGTCCTTGTTGTTTGTTTAGAGACAAGAGCTCAGGCTGGCCTCAAACTCCTGATGTACCACAGAATGATCTTACACCCCAATCCCCCTATCACTGCCTCCTAAGCTCAGGCTTCTGCTTGGCTCCAAAATGTTGATACATTAAAACTACCTTTCTCGCCCTCCCCCTCCCTCTCCCCCTTCTACCCTCTCTTTCTCCCTCCCTATTATCTCTTCCTCCCTCCTGTCTCTCCCTCCCTCCTCTCTCTCACCTCTCTCTGACACACACACACCCACACACACACTATGTAATTCCCACTTAAGCTTTCTGAGTACACCCAACACTGGCAGGCATTACATAGAGCCGGGCTCAGCATAGGTAGATTGCCATGACAATTCATTTTATTGAGAACAGACATTAGACTGAAATACTAAAGGCCAGCACGCCTGCCTCTATACTGTAATCTGTTCTAGTAGAAGCTTTTTAGAACAATGAGTGGGAATTTCAGTGTGAAAATAAATGCATCCCACCAAAACTAAAAGAATTGTACTAAAACAACAAGGCTGACTTTTGAAAGCCAGGCTTTTGGAACCATGTAACTTAATTTGAAGTTTATCTTTGCATTATTTAAACATAAACATTGGTTAAAACAACAGCTGGGGAATTACTGGAGTTTATTCACTCTATTCAGAAGAAAGGTTTCTAGGGGCTGACGCACACTGTGCCCAAATCTGTTTCTTACAAATATATTGTTCTTATCTTTTAACTAGAAAACATTTGTAATGTTTGTGACTAAAGCCATACTTGGAGCCGGTCTGTGTGGACATCCAAGAGCTGGTGCTTTGGGCATGAGCCTGGACGCCTCCCACTTGTGCACAGCTGTGTTCGCCCTTGGGATTATTACCACAGCAAGAAGCGTGTTTTCTTGCCGCTGAATCATTTGGACTCTGGTTTGGCTTCTCTAGGTCCTGATCAGCCCCATTGTCTGTCATACAAGTTAGAGCTTGGATCAGACCAGGAGGTTCCCTCGGACTGGTATCCGTTTGCTACCGTGCAGTTTTCAGTGCCCGAAGCCTGTGCGTCCGGGACAGAGGTGAGGGCCCTGGGAGTGGAGAGCGACATCCAGCCTCAGAAGCATGTGTGCCGGCGAGCTTGCTTCAACATCCAGGTACCGAGTTCCCGGTGAGGTTACCGTTTCTAGATCCGGGGCAGGGCCTGGCCTGGCCATAAACATATGGCTTGCCCCTTAAGAGTCAGTCAGTCAGTCAATCTGTCTTTTCCCTTCTCTCTCCAATGTATTCAACACGGGAAAAGCTCAGAGCTCAGCCAGGGAAACTTAACGGTCCTCACTGACATCTGCTGGGAAATGTCTCTGTGGATCCACTGATTTTTTCCCCCCTACTGAGTGAGGGGCAGCTGGTAGGATGTGCTCTCCTCCAGGCCTCAAAAACCACCCCTCCCCAAATAGTTAGAAGAGATTGGCTTTGCCTGTGTCGTGTCTACTCTTGGGTCAGCCTGTCCCAGTGATGGGCAAAGGCAGCCACTGAAGGATGAATGAGTGTTCCTCTGGGCTTGCCATCCTGCAGGACCATTCCCATGTCAGCGGCCCATTTACGGCAGATTTAAGATAAAAATCATGATGAGAGCTATGATTTTAGAGAGCTTCAGCTTTGATTCTAGAAGGCAGGATCTGGGGGCTTGGTTCCCACAGAACAAAGAAGAGTGGCGTCCTATTGAGCTGGCGTGGGACAGTGGACAGGCTGTGGGTGTCCACAGTGCGAGGCGGTCATTAGGAAGAAACAGTACACAGAGCTCTTGACTGTGCCATGTCTGCTAACCCTGCCAGGGCTTTCTTTTCTCCCTACAGGTTGAAATAGAAACAAAGTGGATTCAGACAGATGGAGAAGACCCAGATAAAGCCAGTGGCTGCGTGACTCAGTAAATGACGAGACTCCCCATGTGTCCCCCCATGCCCCCCACCCCCGGTCATCCTATAGACAGGGCAAGAAGTTCTGCTACTGTATGGTGGGACTGAGTTCTGAGTGTGGAGAACTGTAAGCCCCAAAGCAGGCTGTCTGCATGTTACTCTTCTGATGTTTTCGCTCTGTGTCCACGGGCTGTGTCCATGGCTCGTGGCAGTTTCATCTTGTTGAAACCCAGAGGCTTGTTATCTGGTGTGAGACCTGCTGGCTAGTGTGGCTGAAGAGTATTTGGGTTTGATGACTCGGTGACTTTGTTTTGTAATCTGGGTTGTGATACCCCTTCTCTTCTTGCTTTCTGTATGGAACAGTTTGAAGGGATTAGAAGGATTAGGAGATGTGTCTTTGTTGGAGGAAGTGTGTCACTGGGGGTAGGATCTGGGGTTTCAAAAGCCCAAGCCAGGCGCAGTCTCCTCACTCTCTCTGCCTGCGGATCAGGATGTAGCTCTCGGCTACTGCTCCAGCTCCAGCGCCACGAGTGCCGTCAAGCTCCTCCCCTGCCTCTGCCGTGATGTACTAACCCTCTGAAAAGGTGAGCAAGCCAGTGAGCAGCACTCCTCCCCGTTCTCTGCGTCAGCTCCTGCCTCCAGGTTCCTGCCCTGCTTGAGTTCCTGTCCTCACTTCCTTTGATGATGAACTGTGATCTGGAAGTGTAAGCCAAATAAACTCTTTCCCCCCAAACTTGTTTTTGTCATGGTGTTTCATCACAGCAACAGTATTCCTCACTAGGTCAGTTAGCATGTGGCCGACCAGGAAAGGTAGCCAAAGAGATGGAACCTCAAATCTGCGATGCCTCCTGTACAGCCCTGACGTGTGGTTAGGTGAAGAGAGGTGCTGAAGACATGGACTGAAATGGAGGTTTGGAGGTGTCTGTGGTTTTGCACGATCTATGGTCCCATCCTCTGACGACACTGGGAAGTCATCTTCAGCTGCATTTGCTACCTGTCTTTCCCTTGTATGGGATCAATTTCAAAATGTCTTTGTGTAAAGATTATTTCTATTGGTATACATATTTTGGAATGAGTTACTAAGATACAGTGCCTTTTGGTCCGGGGAGGGGGGAAGGGCAGGATTTCTTTAAAAATGAAACCAGGATCACTGGACATAAAGAAAAATATTTATGTAGATTCAAGATGGCCATGTGAAGTTGACGAATACAGTTTGACAGAAGTAACAGTGCTTTGCAGAAGTGCTTCCTGTAGCCATTGCACCCCCCCGAAGGCTAAGCCAGCCTGATGCTCTAAGCTGGTGATGGGTGCCCCCCCAGGCTAAGTCAGCCTGATGCTCTAAGCTGGTGATGGGTGTCCCCCAGGGTAAGTCAGCCTGATGCTCTAAGCTGGTGTTGCTGTCCCTTGGTCTCACTGAGTTCTGCTTCATTGAGAGTATGTTCTTTAGAGGATGTGTGGAGTGAAAGGTACTGTGTAATTTTAGCTACGCTCACGGTAGACAGCTCACCTCTTCAGAGCCAGAAGTGACTCGGCAGTGTCTAGTGAGATGCCAGCAGCACGCGCACCATCATTACCGTGAAGAGATGCCAACGGCACGCACACCAGTCATTACCGTGGTGAGCCAGCGTCCTGCACTTTATGAAATTGAGGTTTTGAGGATTTTTCTTTTTGGTTTATAACACAGAGTCCTCCATGTCGTGTTAACATGTGCTTGATTCATATTCAGCCTTATCTGACTGGAGGCTGTCTTCCCCACTCTCGGTTTGTTTTGAGTCAAAAAGTTTCACGCAGCTGTTTGAAAACGCATTTGCTTGTTGGCCTACAGAATTTATTTCATGCATTTATCTTGTGTTACATTCATTTTCGTCTATTCAAATAGATTAAAACAAACATTCACGATGGTTTGTGTAAGATTTTTATTGCTCTTATTATTTTACTCTAAGGGCACAGAAAGCAAAAACCAATGCTAAAAATGGATTCTATTGCTCTATTTTAACTTTGGTTGATACATCGCCCATAATTATTTGCTTGAGGGTCATTTGCTTGATGTATAGAACACATATGTGAGTGTGGTTTTATAAAAATCCTACCATCTTTCCTTATTTTCTGGAGCAGGCACACTTTCACTCAGGTCTGCTTGGAACAAATACGGAGGAGACCTTGAGAACCGATGCCGGGAAATCCCGGAGAAGCTAGCTGGGTTAGTTACCCCTTCTCTGCGGGGTTTCATGGCCTCCTGTAGACAAAGAACTTGAGTGGATGCAAATGAACATCATGGAAGTTTTCTGAGAGCCCAGAAAGAGAAGGCGTGACGTGCAGTGATGCCATGTGCAGGTTGAGGAGACCAGAGACGGATGATGTGGTGATTTGGGGCAAACAGACAGACAGACAGACAGACGGAGAGAAACGCTTCGGGGCGTAGCAGAGGAGGCTGCTGGCTGTGTCTGCTGTTGATGGAGACTGGAATAGCTTCCCGAAAGACCCATTGACCCTAAACAGCCAGGAGAAGGAAAGGGGTTTGCACCTTCTCTCTCCTGCGTAGGGCTGGGAGGTTGAAAGGGAAGTAAAGGCCTAAACCACAGATAAAATAGAGTTTAAACTAGTGCTACAGATGAACTTAATGCATATTCATACTGTAAAAGAAATCTAGCAAAGGGTTCCAGGCATTACTTTTCTTGCCTCAAAGGTTGGCTAGTGTGTGTGGGTCACATTGCTGGTGGCCATCTCAAGCTTCCTTACTGAGGTTGGAGAAACTGGACTGACGAGCCCAAATTGACTTTCTGGAGCAACGTTGATAGCATGATCAGCAGGCTGCAGCTGCACACATCTATCAGGCCCTTAAATATTCCATTACTTGGTGTTAGGCTAACGTTGGGGAGGAGACGCTTTCTAATACAGTTCTGACCTTGGAAACGGCAGGAGGTAAAATGTGACTTCTAAGCCCCGCATGAAAACGTACCACGGCCTTAAGGTGGACAGTGTAAGAAGTAAAAGCCTCTTCCAGGAAGCAAGCCGTGATCTTCAAAAGCCCCCGCTTTTAAAGGAGGCCAGGAGGGAATTCAAGAAGAAACACCCCCTTTTAACCCTTCAATTTAGATAACTTCTTTCCATGTGCTCTTTACTTTAGAGTCTGTGGCCAACTTCAAGGACACCAGCAGTTGATAGCTTGTCCTTCTGCCTTCACTACCCTGGTCATCTTGTCAGCATGGGCTGCATTAACCTACGCAGGTCTGACCGTAAGGACACTTCCCGTTCCTGTGGGAACCGTGAAAGTTTATCAAAGACAAAGCTACTGAAGCCACGCTCTCCAGTTTGCCCTAAGTCTGTATACAGAGAACTGTAGTGCCTTTCATTCAGGACCTATGTTTACGACTTAGCCTATTTCTTACAAATTTAGTTAGATGGTTTTCCTCAACAATGACCATTGTTACAATGTTTTACTCAAAATATGGCTTCCTGACCTGTTGTTACAAATACAGAACAGACTGAACTTTGATAATCATGTAACAAAGTATATTGTAGATTATGTATTGATTTTTATAAAATTAAAGATGTATTTCAAATGGTTCTTCCTGTGCTCTGGATTTACATCTTCTTGTGCAAGGCCTGGGGCCTTTTTTTCTAAGGTGTGAAATCAATTTTAATAACCTTAAATGGTTGACTTTCTGTCAGGTGTATGCACAGGACTTCACTGTTGAGTCTCTTGAGATGACATGTCAGCATAACCCAGAAAATAAATACGACCAAACTCTAATTGATCATAATGTAATAGATGATTAAGAAAATAATTAAGTGAGTGAGTTGTCCCAGAAGCAAAAAGACACGCATGGTATATACTCACTCATATAAACATACAATATAGAATAAACCCACTATATCTGTACATCTAAACAAACTAAGCAAAAGAGAGGACCCTAACTAAAATGTTCAATCCCCATCCTGAAAGGCAAAGAGGATGGACATCACAAGAAAAAGAAAATAGGAAACAACCTGGGAACCTGCTACAGAGGGCCTCTGAAAGCCAGAAGAAAACAGGAAACAACCTTGAAACCTGCCACAGAGGGCCTCTGAAAGCTTCTGCAGTATAGACTGTCAAAGCAGATGCTGAGCCTGATGGCCAACTGATGGGCAGAGTGAATGGAATTTTATGTAAGAAGTGGGAAATAGTAAGAGCTGGAGGGGACGGGAACTCCACAAGCAGAGCAACAGAACAAGATAATTTGAACACAGGGAACTTCCCAGAGACTTATACTCCAACCAAGGACTATTCGTGGAGATGACCTGGAACCCCTGCACAGGTGTAGCCCATGGCAGTTCAGTATCCAAGTGGGTTACATAGTAATGGGAAGAGGGACTGCCTCTGACATAATCTGATTGGCCTGCTCGTTGATCACTTCCCCCTGAGGGGGGAGCAGCCTTACCAGGCCACAGTAGAGGACAATGCAGCCACTTTTGATGAGAACTGATAGACTAAGATCAGAAAGAAGAGGAAAACCTCCCCTATCAGTGGACTTGGGGAGTGGCATGCATGCAGAAAGGGGAGAGAGGGTGGGATCGGCAGGGGAGGAGGGAGGGGCTTATGGGGGGATACAAAATGAATAAAGTATAATTAATAAAAAAAAATAATAAACCTAAAAAAAATGGGGAACAGAGCTAAACAGAGAATTCTCTGTAGAGGAATATCGAATGGCAGAGAAACACTTAAAGAAATGCTCATCCTCATTAGCCATCAGGGAAATGCAAATCAAAATGACCCTGAGATATCACCTTACACCCATCAGAATGGCCAAGATGAAAAACTCAAGGGACAACACATGCTGGAGAGGTTGTGGAGAAAGGGGAACCCTCCTCCACTGCTGGTGGGAATGTAAACTGATACAACCACTCTGGAAATCTATCTGGCGCTTTCTAAGAACTGATAGACTAAGATCAGAAAGAAGAGGAGAACCTCCCCTATCAGTGGACTTGGGGAGTGGCATGCATGCAGAAAGGGGAGGGAGGGTGGGATCGGGAGGGGAGGAGGGAGGGGCTTATGGGGGGATACAAAATGAATAAAGTGTAATTAATAAAAATTAAAAAAAGAATCAAATAAAGCATATACAAAACAAAAAAACAAAAAAAAATAATTAAGCTGGGTGCGGTGGCACATGCTTGTGATCCCAGAACTCTGGGAGGCAGAGGCAGGTGGATCTCTGTGAGTTCAGGATCAGCTTTGTCTACAAAACGAGTCTAGGATAGCCAAGGCTATATGGAGAATCCCTGTCTCAAGAAGACAAAAAGAAAAAAAAAACCATTTATGCTTGCATATGTGCACATGAGTGCAGGGTGGGGGAGCCCAGAGGGGTGTTGGAGCCCCTGGAGCTGACGTTTTGAACAGTTCTGAGCCGCTGGGTGTGGGTGCTTGGGAACTGAACTCAGATACTTTGAAAGAGCAATATGGAGTCCTAACTGCTGGGTCATCCCTCTGATACCAAGAATGTTTTTGTTTGTTTGTTTTTTATATAATCATGACACATAAGGATGTGGAATTGATCTGACTGCCTCCTCCCTAAGGCTAGCTTTCATAGTGCTAGAAGGCACCTCACAAGCTTCTAAAAGAGAGGCTACCAACAGTTCTACTTGGCTATGATGCCTAAGGACCACATCCATGACTAGCAGGGCACAGTGACCCTGAGAGTACAGCAGTGATATTCATACCTTTTTGGTAACCAACAGCTCTCTAATTGGACTTAAGATTTGCTCAACAAAAGGGAGACTATGCCTGGTACTAGAAACCTGGCTAATACTCAGTGCACGTGAAGTCATGGATGCTGGAGGACAGCCTATGACTACTACTTTACTGAATCCGTATAATTCACTGAACAGTCTAACCACAACCTAAGCATTTATCTTTGTCTTAGTCACTGTTCTGTTGCTGTGAAGAGACACCAGGACCAAGGCAACTCTTCTAAAGAAAAGCATTTCACTGGGGCTGAC